ACGTGTGAGTGGAAAGGACACCTAATGGGAAAAATAAAAACTCTACTTCTCAGGATTGGGAGACGCCAACCTTCAGTGGCTGAGAGAGGCAGGTGAACCAGCAAAGGAACTAGTTCCATCAGGGTGGGTATTCAGCAGGAACCTTGGAGCAATTGCAGAGGAGTGCGTATGCTCAGAAGTTCTTTAGCTTTCATAATGTTCAATTCTTCATTTATAACTACTAAAGATCATGACTTGACACTGTTAAAACACACAGTTGTGAACAAGAGTTCTCAGAAAAGGAATTTTGAGGAAAGACTTTATTCCAGTTAACAGTTTGCAAACCAGGGAAACACAGCCTCTGGTGTAAAAGGAAGGTGTATTCCAGAGAAGAAAGGGAAGGCTCAGGTTTTACAGCAAAAGTTCCCACCCAGGTTTCCAATCAGGTCTGTTTACGTAAATAAAGGATTCAAATTCACTTAGTTCTGATTGGTCGATACAGCTGAACCCTGATTAGCTGATACAGCTGAGCCCTGATTGGTCATTACAGCTGAGCCCTGATTGGCTGAGGCAGATCTCAAAGATAAAAAGGTGTGGGTTTTCAAGGAACTCAGAGGATGTGTGTGACCCCCTAGTCAGTAAATGGCCACTTGGCCCTATTTTAAATTTAGACCCAGTTAACCACTCAGGACCCATCTTGAAGGACTGGCTCTTTCAGGGTCACATTTGTTCTCATAGTATATTGAATTATAAATCTTATATAGAGTATAGAGTTGCCTTGCCCAAACACAAGCAATTTAATGTCTCCAAGCCTGTGGGTAAAGGGAGTTTATAAAATCTACCTCATGTCTTTGTCACGTGCATTGAACAAGATGACCATGTGAAATGTTTGGCCCATGACTGCACTTAGTAAATGTTGACTATCCTCAATTCATCTGCACGGATTACTATCCCCATTGTACTGATGAAGAAACTGAGGCTTGAGAAGTCACATGACTTTCCCAAGACCGTCAAAATATAACAGCAATAACCACAGGTGTCATTTTTGAGAACTGACTTGACCAGGCAATATTTGAGCTACTCCATTATGCTACGCCATTTCATCTTCACAGCCAGTACTAGTGGCAAACATAGAGAAAACAAACAGAAATTAAGATTTCACTAACTTATTTTGCCATATTCGTAAGGCAAATTAATATTTTAATAAAATGTTGTGCAATGTGAGAATTGTGTGTCCTTCATACATGGGGGTAAGCAAGGGCCTACCTTGCTGAGTCGCTGGGGCCTGTGTGCATCAGTTCACATCAGACCCCAGAGCTTCAAGCTCGGTGCAGCTTAAACTGACAGCCAGGACACATTTTGATTTTGTGTCCGCTCCAAGGAAGAGAGGCTTGTTGATCAACTGACAGGCATGAATCTGGGGGCCATGAGTTCATCTCAGAAAATCTCCCACTGTCTGAAAACCGCATGCTTGCTATCTTGCCTTCACCCCTGTCTATCGAAGCCTTCATGGTAAGCAAGCTTGGGCTTTATGAAAGTGAGTCTAACTCTGATATTGAAATAGCGGCTGTGTCTTGTCTCCCTAGTCTTCCCACACCTGGTGAAAGAGCTCAACGCAGGCCTTCATGTGATGATTCTGCTGCTCCTCTTCCTGGCCTTGGCCCTGGCTCTGGTCAGCATGGGCTTTGCCATTCTCAACATGATCCAGGTCCCATACCAGGCAGTCAACGGTCCTGGGGGTATCTGCCTATGGAATGTTCTGGCAGGTAAGAAGTCCCTTAGGGAGAAAAAATTGTGTCCACACCATCACAGGGCTGGGCTCCAAGTAGTTGGGCAGAAGGTGTGAAGGAACTAAAATGTGCCACTGGAGCTTTGACCTTCCTGTGTCTAAGACCTTCTTGATGGGCATGGAATGAATGTCCTCTTTTTCTTTTTCTTTTTTGAGACAGGGTCTCATTTTGTCACCCACACTGGAGTGCAGTGGTGCGATCTCAGTTCACTGCAGCCTTGACCTCCTGGGCTCAAGTGATCTTCCCACCTCAGGCCCCCAAGTAGCTGGGAGTACAGGCGTGCACCACCATGCCCAGCTAATTTTTTGTAGTTTTTGTAGAGACGGGGTTTCACCATGTTGCCCAGGCTAGTCTCAAACTCCTGAGGTCAAGGGATCCGCCTTGCTTGGCCTCCCAAAGTGCTCATGAATTTCCTCTTTAAGTTGCAGAGTCTGTCACAATAAAGAACCATCTTATTAGAGTACGTGAATGGCTGAGGACTTAGAGCAGTGAAGAGAGATCGAGGTGAAAGGAGAGGCCAGAAGACAGAGAGCTGAAAGTAGGGAGAGGTGGGGGCCCTGGGACGGGGAAAGAGATGGAGCTGGTGCTGCAGTTGAGGCTGGGAGGAACTCCACCAGCGACGGAAGAGAAGGGTATTGTGAGCAAGAGGCCATTTGTGAAAGGCTCCTCCATTCAGGCTCTGGGTTAAGAAGGGGAAGTGAGTGCCATCTAGCTGCCAAGGTCTTTAGTGTTCCCCCCACACACACCTGGGCATATTAATGCAGACAGGGCTCACTGGCTGTCTCAACTCTCCCTCCTCTCACCTTCCCAGCGCCTTCACTGCACCATGCCCTTAAACGAGATGCAACTTACTGAGCAGCCACTAAGAGTTAGGCATGGACCTGGGGATTTTGCATGCATTACTTTGTTTACATCTCACCACATCTCTATAGGAGGTATTATTAGACCCACGTTTACAGATGAAGAGCCTGAGGCTCAGAGAAGTTAAACAGTCACACAGCAATGAGTGGCAGAGGTGGTATTCCAACCTAGGCATAACTGATTCTAAGCTCTTTATTTTTCCACAGATCCATGCTCTCGTTTATGACCATCATGACCTATTTTCCAAGCCAAAAACTAAAAGATGTGTGTGTGCGCGCGCGCGCGTGCGCACACACGCACATGCGTGCATGCATGTTGATTTGGGAGTATATTGATGCACAGAAATTAATTCACATTTAATTATGCACTTAACACATCATCTGTAATGAAAATAACAGAATCTTGTGAAATGAGGGCTATCTCTGAAAACTCAGGTCAAATATTCAAGGTACCATTCAGACAATAACCCCTCACTATGATTACCTTATACAAGAATATCATAAAATATAAAAACAGGTAGTGTTATTTTATTATGTATTATAATGTATATCAAGAAGTCAATTATTATGTGTTTGCCTTTGTTTGCAGATGGTAGCCATCCTGTAGAATTGTTTATATACATGGCTCACCCTCATCAAGACTACAGGTGTCTTTCTCATCTGCATGCATCGTCACAGAGGCTGGCATGTAAAAAGTGCTCAACCCTGCTTTCAATAAATGCTTATCTCTGTCCATTTCTTTCCTCAGAGAGATAGCATTCTCAAACTCTACTGATGAGAGATTAGCAACAGGCAAAATAGCCTGGGCAACATAGCAAGACCCCATTTCTACAAAAATAAGAAATAAAAAAGTTAGCTGTGCGTGGTGTCAGGCGCCTGTAGTCTTGGCTACTTGGGAACTGTAATCCCAACACTTAGGGAGGCTGAGGTGGGAGAACTGCTTGAGCCTGGGAGGTCCAGGCTGTGGCGAACCGTGATCATGCCACTGCACTCCAGCCTCAGCCAACAGAGCAAAACCTTGTTTCAAAAAAAATAAAAATAAAAACAGGTAAAACGTAATGTCTTTTGACAAAACTTTATTTCTTGCCACTGAGCTTGAAAAAAACAAAAACACTGCAGTGTCTAAAGGCATAAAAAGGTGAATAGCCTTTGCATATATTTGGACTAGACAATTCCATGTTTGGATTTATGCTAAGGAAATACTCGACAAGAGAACAAGGATGCACATAAAATGGTATTTGCTGTAGCATTTTATGATATCAAGAATTAGAAGTAATATAGGCACCCAGAAATAAGGTCATACTTACATAAATTATAGTGTGTGACCGTATATCTATAATTTAGTAGAGACTGTTTAGTCTTTACTAAAAATACTATGCACTCATTTATAGTAATGCTGTAAGCCTGGCATGGTGACTCATGCCTGTAATCCCAGCACTTGGGGATGCTGAGGCGGGAGGATTGCTTGAGCCCAGGAGTTGAAGACCAGCCTGGGCAACGTCGTGAGACCCCATCTCCACAAACAAACAAAAACCAAAAATTAGCCAAGCATGGTGGCACGCACCCATGATCCCAGCTACTCAGGAGACTGAGGCAAGAGGATCGCTTGAACCCAGGAGGTCAAGGCTGCAATGAGCCATGATCACGCCACTGCACTTTATCCTAGATGATAGAGCAAGACCCTGTCTCAAAAAAAATAAAAACAAACAATAAAGTCGTGCTGTAACAGAATATTTAGCAACACGTAAAAATGTCCAAGTGAGGGGAAAAGATCAAATTTAAAATCCAAGTAAGAACACTATAATACTAATTTTGTTAAAGAGAAAGAAACATAAAGAAAAACACTCAAATGTTGAAAGTGTTCATGCTGGCTTTTAGGATAAAAGTGAATTTGTTTATGATTTTCTCTAGTGTCCAAATTTTTCTTTGATGAAGATAATAATCTTTTAAGAAGCATCATAAATGTCTTACTAAAAATATTAATTAAAATTGAAACCAGAGGAAGAGGAGGGAGAGAGAGAGAAAGAGAGAGTGAGATTCCTCCCAGAAGGTCAAAGTTTCAAGCAAAACACAGGGAAGTAGTTTGGAATTCTTCCAGTTTTCGCCTCCCTCCTTTCCTCCTTCTATGAGTGGTCATCCTTGTCCTTAAGCATGGAAGGAGGATAATTAAAGAGGAGAGCAACAGTTTTTCTTACATCTTGCCACATAGCCTTCATGGTCTTCATAGAAATCCTGAGATATTTTAGACAATGAACTTCTCCAAATGTGGATCCCCGGGAAGCATGGTACTGGGTAAGGGGAAAAATTGGAAGAGTGGGCCAGGTGCAGTGGCTCAAACGCCTGTATTTCCAGCACTTTGGGAGGCCAAGGCGAATGGATCACTTGAGATCAGGAGTTCGAGACCAGCCTGGGCAACATGATGAAACCCCGTCTCTACTAAAAATACAAAAATTAGCCAGGTGTGGTGACAGGCACCTGTAGTCCCAGCTACTTGGGAGGCTGAGGCAGGAGAATTGCTTGAATCCAGGTGGTGGAGGTTGCAGTCAGCTGAGATGGCGTCACTGCACTCCAGCCTGGGTGATAGAGCAAGACTCCATCTCAATAAATAAATAAACAAATAAATAAATAAATAAAAATTGGAGGGGTGGAAATTCAAAGTTGATCTGATATAAAGCAGATTCTCTCTTTCCCCGCACAATCCTGCCTTTCTCCTTCATACTGTGTGAGTTAGCTCCTACTTTTAAAAGCAAATTAAAACTTATGTCTTCCTCATAACTTTTTTCACCCAAAGCAAGCTTGTCACACGTGGCACAGAAATGCCACCTCTCATAGAGTTGTCACAATCGCAAAAAGGAGCCGTGAATGAGGGTGACCTTTTTGGGTTTCAGGTGGAGTCGTGGCATTAGCCATAGCCAGCTTCATGGCTGCGGTGAAATTTCATGACCTGACAGAACGAATCGCCAACTTTCAGGAGAAGCTCTTCCAGTTTGTGGTGCTGGAAGAACAGTATGAAGAGTCGTTTTGGATCTGCGTGGCCAGCGCGTTGGCCCACGCCGCAAACTTGGTCGTGGTGGCGATCAGTCATATTCCCCTCCCTGAGATTAAGACCAAGATCGAAGAGGCCACTGTCACGGCTGAGGATATCTTGTATTAATAGCCTTCCCCTGTTCACACCCTGGCCTAAGTCAGTTCTGTGTGTGAATGGAGTCCTTGTGTTTTTGCAGCCTTCCCACTCCGTCACGGCCATGTTCTCAGCGGTTAAGAAAAAGGATATGAAGGACCAAGGCTGTTGCCTGGGCCAGAAAAGAAAAACTTGCCCGGGATCCCCAGCGTTCTTGCATTCCTCTCTCATGACGTTGGAGTTCCAGTTGCAGCTGGAGACTCTGCCACTTGCCAGCTTAAGCATAGTAACAACTTCCCAAGGCCGTTGTGAAGTTTAAATGGGTGATAATATTGCCAGATTCTGCATTCTGTAGAGCACTTGACAAATGTAAGATACTACAGACTCCAGTAAGTGTCTGTAGATCCCTGGTCGATTCCATTTACAATATTGGGCTGGTGAGTGGGGAAGAATTCTCAGAGGAATATGATACTGTTCCTCTTCCTGCCCTCCAGAAACACCTAATCTTTCCACATGACATAGGACTTAGCAACGGTAACACTAAGAATGAAAATAACTGCCATTTTTTGAGTGGTTACTATGTGTAAGACACTGTTCTCACTCATTTATTACTCATCAGGTCCTAATGGCAAAAACAGCAATTACTTTTGCACCAACCTGATAAAAGAACAGCCATAAGGGACCAAGGAGGGAATTAAATCTTGGGGATGGGATGTGGTGCTAAAGAAAGTATCACAGTGTGAACATTTGATCTGAGTTGTGAAAGATGAGTAGATTTTTCCAGTGGTGAAGGAAGCAAGGTTGGAGAAGGGCATTCCAGGATGCGTCAGTAAGGAGGCTGGGCATAGGGTGTGAAATTACAAGGAGGGGCCGGGCACGGTGGCTCATGCCTGTAATCCCAGCACTTTGGGTGGCGGAGGCAGGCAGATCGTGAGGTCAGGAGTTCGAGACCAGCCTGGCCAATATGGTGAAACCCCATCTCTACTAAAAATACAAAAATCAGCCAGTCGTGGCGACGCGCACCTGTAGTCCCAGCTACTCAAGAGGCTGAGGCAGAAGAATTGCTTGAACCCGGGAGGCAGAGGTTGCAATGAGCCAAGGTCATGCCACTGTACTCCAGCCTGGGCGACAGAGTGAGACTCCATCTCAAAAAAAAAAAAAAAAGAAAAAGAAATTTCAACGAGGGCTTAGAGGCATGTGAGTACTCAATGGGACTAGAATGTTGCTTTCATCACCTGTTGGAGATATTCAGCAGTTTTGTGTTGAGTTTTCCTAAGTGCCACTGGAATGGTTAATTTTTTGTGTCACCTTGGCTGGACCACAGTAACCACATATTTGGTCAAACACTTCTAGATGTTTTTTCAAAGGTGTTTTTTGAGGAGATTAACATTTACATTTGTATATTTTGAGTAAAACAGATTACCATCTGTAATTGGATGGTAATTCCCTCATCCAATCTGTTGAAGGCCCTAATAGAAAAAAGGCCTAGCTCCCCTGAGGGAGAGAGAATTCTGCCAGCAGACTTTTTGGACTCAAACTGCAACTGTCACTGGATCTCCAGCCTACCCACCTAGCCTCAAGATTCTGGAATTGCTGGCCTCCTGAGTCATGTGAGACAATTCCTTAAAATACCCACCTCTTTCTCTCTGTCACTACACACACACACACACACACACACACACACACACACAGCCTGTTGGCTCTGTTCCTCTGGAGAACCCTGACTAACAGAGGTACACAACTATATGAACTAATTTTCCCATGATGCTAGCTGGGATGAATCCTTTCCCAGGTCTCCTATCTTCATGTCATGCAAATGTTATCTAATGCGATCCTTTTGTAGTTCATGAGGATGATGATTGAGTTTTCATGCACGTGTGTGAGATGTGCCACCCTGGAACCTTGCTATGACATCCGCACGTTACCCATCTGATCTGAAGGAAAAAAAAAGGAAAATGATTTTTTTTTTTAAACAGAGCTTTGCTCTTGTTGTCCAGGCTGGAGTGCAATGGCACGATCTCAGCTCACTGCAGCCTCCGCCTCTCGGGTTCAAGCAATTCTCCTGCTTCAGCCTCCCAAGGAGCTGAGATTACAGGTGTGTGCCACCACTCCCAGCTAATTTTGTATTTTTAGTAGAGATAGGTTTTCACCATGTTGGTCAGGCTGGTCTCAAACTTCTGACCTCAAGTGATCCACCACCTCAGCCTCCCAAAGTGCTGTGATTACAGGCATGAGCCACCATGCCCAACCTGGGAAATTTTTTTTTTTAAGTTATCTAACCCCCCAAATTAGCTCCATCTAAAATGACACCTGATTTGGTGACTTCAGGAAGTGCTCATGTCATCTCTTCTTTATAATTCCTTGCTGGGCTCATCAGCCCCTTTCAGCCCTTTTTCTACATCCCAGGCATAGTTTCAGCACTATTTAGTGGACTGATGTCACTCACCAAAGATGCAGATGGCACATGGCTAGAAGAGACAGTTATGTTATAGGAGACAGATCCAAAAGAGACAGTTAATGTGATAGGAGATGGATCCAAAAGATAGTGAGAGACTGCCAAGCTGTCTTGAAAACAAGAGGAAATGTCAATATCATATCAAGTTTGAACACAAAGTCCTGCTGATGGGTTTTTTAAAAATCAACATAAATACAGAAAATCTGACAACAGTTTATATTACAAGTGTCTGAGGATCTTGGTACATTTATTCACTCAACAGTATTGATATTGATGTAGTGCTGGGACTAAAGCAGTGAGCTGACAAAAATCCCTGCCCTCCAGACATTTCATTCTCCCAGCAGCTGGGGATGAAACATACTGAGCAGGCTTGTGATGGAGCTATTTGAAAAGTTAGCACGGTGGCCAGGCGTGGTGGCTCATGCCTGTAATTACAGCACTTTGGGAAGCCAAGGAGGGAAGACTGCTTGAGTCTAGGAGTTCAGCCTGGACAACACAGGGAGACCTTCTCTCTCTATTTCCAAAAATAAAAATAAAAAGTCATCAGGGCCATAGCCTTTGAACTGATCACTGCCTTCAGTCATATGCAGACTATCATGCCAAGAAGGGGGCAGAGTGGGCCAGGCACAGTAGCTCATGCCTGTAATCCCAGTATTTTGGGAGACTGAGGTGGGTGGATCACCTGAGGTCAGGAGTTCAAGACCAGCCTAGCCAATGTGGTGAAACCCTGTCTCTACTAAAAACACAAAAATTAGCTGGGCGTGGTGGCAGATGCCTGTAATCCCAGCTGCTCAGGAGGCTGAGGCAGGAGAATTGCTTGAACCCAGGCGAAGGTCGCAGTGAGTCGAGATCACGCCTTTGAACTCTAGCTTGGATGCCAAGAGTGAAACTCTGTTTCACAAAAAAAAGAAAAAAAAGAAGAAGGAGGCAGGGTGAATTCAGTTTTTTTTGAGACATAGTCTTGCTCTGTCGCCCAGGCTGGAATGCAATGGCGGGATCTCGGCTCACTGCAACCTCCACCTCCTGGGTTCAAGTGATTCTCCAGCCTCAGCCTCCCGAGTAGCTGGGATTACAGGTGCCCACCACCACGCCCAGCTAATTTTTTGTATTTTTAGTAGAGACGGGGTTTCACTATGTTGGCCAGGCTGGTCTCAAACTCTTGACCTCAGGCAATTCATGCGCCTCATTTCCCAAAGTGCTGGGATTACGGGCATGAGCCACGGCGCCCAGCCAGATGTGTTTCAAGAAGTCAAAGTGCAGGCTTTTGTATGCATCTGCATTTTTTCTGTGACAGAGTCCATAGCTTTTGAAAGTGTTTCAGGACTATCTATGATGTCTTTAAACCATGAGCTATCAGGTGGCAACCATAATGTTACTGGCAATAATCAGGCTTAGTCTGAAAGACCATCTCTCAGGAATACTGTAAATGAGATTCCTACATGGAATTTAGTAGGTTGAGAGTGGGGGTGGGAAGAAGGGAGATTAAGTATCTGGGTCACAAAATTCACTTGCATTATTTTCAAATGCACAGAGGAAAATGTAGCTCCTTTATCTTGACTATAATTAATGTGGTCATTTTATGAGTAAATAAATAGTAGCTTCGGGAAGGCGGCTGGTCACAGGAAAAGACCAAGGCAGAATTAGAGGGTTGGGACTTCCAGCCCCACCCACACCCATGACTTCTGGGAGGAAAGAGGGGCTGAAGGTTAAGTTGATCACCAATGGCCAATGCTTAATCAATCATGCCTACACAACGAAGCCTCGGCAGAAACCCAAAAGAACTGGGTTTGGAGAGATTGCAGATGGCTGAGCATGTGGAGGTTCCTGGAGGGAGGTGCACCCAGGGAGAGCATGCAAGCTCCGCGCTCCTTCTCCCATACCTTGCTCCATGTGTCTCTTCATCTGTATCCTTTGTGATATCCTTTGTAATAAACCAGTAAATAGAAGTGTTTCCCTGAGTTCTGTGAGCTGCCCCAGCAAATTAGCCAAACCCAAAGTTGTAGGTTTGGCTACTTGGGACTAGTGTCTGAGGGAGGAGGGACAGCTTTGGGGATGGAGCTCTCAGCCTATGGGACCTGATTCTATCACCAGGTGGATAGTGTCAGAACTGACTTAGAGCGTAGCCGGTGTCTGCTGCAGAGCTGACTGCTTATTGGTTGATGGAGGGAAATTCCCCACATTTGGTCATCGAAGTCTGCTGTATTAATTGTTGTTGAGAGTAGTTTGAGAGCTGAGAAAAACACTGAGTTCTTTCCTCTCAGAGGTCATTCATTATCTTATGTGGGCCAGGCACTGTACACTTTCTCCTTAATTCTGACAACAATTATTCAAGATAAATATTAGTATCTTTTTTTAACAGATGGGTAACTTTAGGTTTGGAGAATTTAAGGAACTTGCTCAGCCTCATTGCTAATAAATAATGGAGAAAGACTTCAGCCCTGATTTATATGATGTCAAGGCCACCACTTTTCCAATACAGCAAGATTATTGCCTTGAATCATCCTTGAGGCTCCTTCTCAGGGTTTCTGCAAGTGGCTGTGCAGGTTGCACCCTGCCCAAGGGAGGTGAAGTATAGGAGGCGAGGGACTAGCCAAAGTGCC